GCCCGCATGGCTTCGGCGGTGAGGAGGGAGCCGGGGCGGGCTCCGTCAGCCTGCAAGCAGGCAGAGGGGCATGCCCGGCCCCGGATGGTTCTCTCTGGCTCAGCTCGCTGCTCCAGGAAACCTGCCTGACGGGTCGGCCGCCGCGCAAAGCCCAGACGCTGTCGTGGCTTGTTCCCCCGACGGGCTCCCCGGGGCAGCTGGGCTTGGCGGGGCTGTGTGGAGGCGTCTCCCAAACCATCCCAGGCCTGTTTCACAACCCCTGGCACCCCTGAGTCACCGCCACGGGGTCCCCACGGTCACGGCCATTCCCAGAAAGGGTGGCAAAGCCCCCCTGGAGTTTTGGGGAGAGGGTCAGGTGGCAGTGAATCCCCTGTCCTCGGGCTGGAGGGTGCTCGTCCCCAGCGCAGCCACCTTGGAAGGAGGGATTTGGGATTTGGGCATCACTCGGGGGGGTGGCAAAGCCCTTGTGGGTGGATCCGTGCCTGCAGATGGGGTCCCCGTGGGGCTCAATCACCCTTTGCAAGAGCATCCTGAGCCCTGGGGCAGCACTGCTAGGGCTGGGAATGAGAAGGGAAAACAGGGGGAGCACATGGAGAAGGATGGCAAGCCCTGGCTGGCAATGCCTACTCACCGGCCAGGTGTGCGATGAGTTTTCTGGGCTCAGCTGATCTCTGCTTCACACCCTGAGGCGGCCACGGCTCCTTCCCAGGGCTGGATCCTGCTCGCCATCATGGGCCAAGCGCTAATTACAGGGTTGGCTGGAAACAAGGGAGGTTCAACCTGATTTCCCCGGTGCGGGGGGAGCAGCCCCCATGAGCCCAGACGGCCGCAGGGCACCCCGAGAGCTGGGCCCCCTGCTCGGCCGGGCGAGTCGAGCCGGCCCATCCCTGCCACCAAAAAAATGCTGACGCCTCCGTCCTCTCGGCGTTGATGCTAATCCTTGTGGTTTTCCTCCCTCTGGAAAAGGGACTTTTCTCCCAGCTGGGGATGCTGGCAGCATCTTTCCAGGCTGGGCCCAGGGTGCTGCTCCCCACCACCCTTTTGGGAATGAGATGCCGTGGACTGGAAAATCCTGCTTTGGCTTGGCTGGGTCCTCATCCCGGGACAAAACTCCTAGGGCCAGGAAAGTGTGGAGTCTGAAGAGTGATTACGTGCATGGTACATATACATATGTATACGTGTCTGCGTATGGCCCTGGCCGCTCGCACTGGTTCTGGGGCGGAGCTGGTGATGCTGGTGATGGTTTCCCTTCCCCATGAGGATTTCCTATCCCCACAATGGTTTTCCTGTGCCAATAGTTTGCCATCCCAATGATGATATCTGGGGGGGGGGGGAAATGATTTCCATGGCAGAGGGGAAGGGATGGGGCCGGCACCGGTGACCCTGCAATGCCAATGTGCGTGTGCTGCCCCGTCCTGCCCCGGCGGTGGGGATGGAGGGGGTTTGGGGTAATTTTGGGTTGGTTTTGTCCTCACTGTCTCTGCCCCTCAGGGCAACGGCTGTTCCCAACTGCGGTGTCCTGGCACTGTGTGGCCATGACGGCAGCCCGTGGGGTGGCCCTTTGGGGGGGTCCCCTGGAGGGGGTTGCTCCTACTGGGATGGGGGATGCTGGTACTGGGGGTGATGGTACCAGGATGGGGGAGAGGTGCCGGTGCTCGGGATATTGGTATCTGGATGGGGTAAGGATGCTGGTACCGGGGGTGCCATGGGGTGGGGATGCCAGTACTGGGGCGGTGATGCTGGTGCTGGGGTGAACCAGGGTGCTGGGACTGGGACAGTGGTGCTGGTACTGGGACAGTGATGCTGGCACCGGGGTGGTGATGCTGGTTCTGGGACAGTGGTGCTGGTACTGGGACAGTGATGCTGGTACCGGGGTGGTGATGCTGGTTCTGGTACTGGGAAGGCGATGCCGGTGCCGGTGCCGG